ATGTAGTATTTAGTACCAAAGTATATATAAAAAAGGAGTGAGTAGATTTTTCCTTTTATATAATTACAATGAAGTTGTTTTGACGATTATACATTCAAAATCAAATAGATACAACACAAGAACGACCAAAAATACCAATGTACTACAAACTATAAAAGCCATAAAAGACAAAAACAAAACCAACAAAATTGAGTAGTTGTTAATAATGACTTTATTAATAACATATTCACTATGCAAATATGTGTGCCGTAAAGTGAAAACCATAATAACCAATTATACTGCTTTTTAATATCATTTAAAATCCATATACCGTTGTCTAAAGAATTCTATCGTTAGAAGTCCTGGTTTTCACTTGGCAGCAATCATATTTTATCACAGATCCAACCTCATGAATATATATCAATACATTCTCAACTATACAGTAAAAAACTAGGGGTAAGCACACAACTTACTAAAATCACAATTAATCTTACTACTTAAAATATCCTTAAATTTACTCCATTTACAATATTCACCATTACAACCCGGAATTATATATGGTTTAAAATTAACTACAAGTCGCAGTAATGCATCTTTGCCTGGAGAAGTATAAATTTCAAAGTACATCGTAGAAGTCCAATAAAAAACATTTTGTATTATATTCTTTAAGCTTTTCATTTGTTCAAGAGTTAAATCTGCTGTAAGTGGATATTCGTTTTTATATAAACCCTTTGATTAAACAGTATTTATTAGTAATTAATAAATCAATCAATAAATAAATTATATTGAAACATAATAACATACCAAAGTAGTAAGTACAACCGTCTCAGTAAATGCTTGACCAATTTTTATGTCAGCTACCATCCGAGATTTCCCGTTTAAGTAATCCTCAACGCTATTTACAAATTGTGTAATGTAGGCACAACCCAATTGCTCATTAAGAGGATTCCCATATGAATATAGATAATAATCTCTCATATTCCAATGATATCGAGCAAGTATAAGATCATCATCACTTAACAATGCACACCAAGTGTCAGCTCGATTAAAGTGAAGTAAATAGAACTCACAATAATAAAATATATCTGGTATTAAAATCGGATCAAGAGGTGGACTAATATTGTATTTTTTGGTCATTCTTTCTGCTATTAATACTAAAGTCTTATTACGATAAGAAGAAGTTTGATCTTTATAAAGTGTAAAATTATTTAAAACTGTCTGGTTCCAACGTAGACAAGCACTATACATTTGTATAATATTATCATAACCCTAAATATATAATATAATATAATAATACGAGTAATTAAAATTAATAAATAAATAAATTAATATATACTTATATAAGGCTGTTTGCAGTTAAACCTTCGTTTAACGTTATATATTTTTGTATTTACAGGGAGAAGGTAGAAATTCAACAAACACAAAAAAATAAATATATAGTTTATCGAACAATCCGACAGTAAGCCGGAAACATTCAGCAGAAATGTTGACCTTTATATCAATCAATTTCTGTTTGTTTAATTTGAAGGGGAGCTTAGGGAATAACATTAAACGAAAAATCAACTACAAATGGCCTAATATTTACCGATGGCAAATACCAAATGGATACTGGCTCATTTTTACAGGGGCCTACGGGGCCAGTTCCATCCAATAGTCCTTCTGAAAAAGACATGGCCGATTGACTGGTCCTGTAATATATTTAATGAATATATGGTAAGTATATTGTGCAACTTCAAACACATTAAGTTACACCTGCTTAGATTAATACTTGTGACAGCTGAAACTGGAATTGTCTAAAGTTGGGTTTGGGGCACTATGTAATCTACTAATATAATGACCTATAAAAATTTACTTATACTCTTTTATTAATAATTATAACCACCCTAAAAAAATATGCATAATAAAAAACTTTTAAATTTCATATTAAAATAAACTCAGTTTCAGCAACCACAATTCTTAAGGCTTCTAATTTGAGCCCATTTTCTATCAGATGTAACTTCAGGACTAGAATATTGTAATGAATATACGTAAATTTACCAAAAAATACTAGCAGCCTGAAATTTTACAACATCAACATCATATTCGACATTTTTCCAAAATTTTTCGTATCTTTTATGAGATTGTAAACCACTGTAATAACATTCGACTTTACCTCTTGTAGTTAATCGATAATTTTTTTCCATAGGAAAAGGATTTTTAGGCTAAAAATTATTTTTTTGTTTAAATAATACTTTCTATTTGTTATACTTTATTAATTAAAAATAATTTACCCAATCTTTTGTTACGGAAACATTTGCAAATGCTTTATCAATTGTATAAAAAGCTGTAATCTGGATATCAGACGGAAATCTCGATCCTAAATAAATAGTTTCCAAAAAAAAATTACTTTGTATCATCAAATTTTCGTTGTGTTTATGAATAAATAATTACCATGTCTACCAAGTAAAAATAATTGACTTAATGTATAATTATCAGGATAGTTTATAGGCTTAATGTGATCAAGAGAAAAAACATCCT